AACACACAAAATTCTACGCTAAATTTTTTCACCACTTTCCTTGCTAAGTACAGAGTATTGAATTAGCCCCACATATTGGAATACATCAGTATCAATTATGAGTAGACAAGCAGTAGTCTGTTATTGCTGCTCTTAAGACAGAACAAAAAAGTCTCCTGCTGTGTCTCTACATGTTCACTCAAACTGAAATGTCAAATTTTTGATTGGGACGCTCCTAGTAAGACTGCTAAAGCTTTGTGTCTCCTTCAGTCTCACCAATAACACACTAGCAAGTGGGGTGAAGAGAGTGAAAAGAGTATGTATGAAGAACAACTGAAAGAAAAGAATGAAAGATGGAAGAGGTGAAGCTCAGGGCTCTAGATATTGCGAATGGTATTTTGGGGAGCCTCAGCTTTGAGGATTGACTAGTAGTCATAATATTTACAAAGAGGTTAGATTGACTTTTTAAAGAAATCAATATGTGATATAGCCTACATGCCGTTGTGAACCTGGGAGGTAATGGGATCTTTGCAACGCTTGGCTAACAGGGCTCCTTGCCTGTCTCTGGTTACTTCTCTCTTCGCCCTTTCATTTTCCTCTCTCCCTCTGCCTGACTTCTCTCTCTGCTTCGCTTCCCTTGATATCATGAACAGACATTATAATGGACAAATGTTAATAATTAATGTCAGAGCAATTGGAGACAATTAAGTGTGTTGACTGGACCATTAATTTTCCTGGGGCTGTTGGTGGGGGAGCAGAAGGGGGAGAGAGAGAGCCCATCTGTAGAGGCAGACGGCCCACTGATCTTTTTTGTAAGAAGTGCACCTGGTCAGCTCCGGCCAGGTCAGCCACGCCACCGTCCATCCGTCCCAGTGAAGCTACAGGTCTATTACGCTACAAACTGGCCATGAATTCTGGCCGCTACTTTCATTCTCCACAGTAAATTACAGCTTTGACTGGGTGACGAGTCCCCGGAGACGGTGTTAGTGCAAACATTACTGAAGCATGTTCAACTGATTGCATCTGTGTATTCCAGTGGCTATACCAGTATTTGCAAAGCTACTTTATCTATCTGGTAAATTAGCCCATGTGATCCGATGTATCCATTAGTTTGTGAGAGGAAAAGAGCGGATAGATGGGTGGGAGACAGTGTGTGTTTGTCTGTACATAATTCACTGGACATATATGTAAAGCCTTTTGTGTCTGTAAGTGTTTCTGTATCCTTGGTGTTTGTTTTGACTTTTTTGTACAGAATTGCAATTACCAAGAAAAGTGACATTTAAATTTTACATTCCACGTGATGTTTTTATGGTTTCTTTTCTTTTCTAGTCTGTACTTATGTACTGTTTGCATTTGTGAACTGTTTGCTCTATTTTCTGCAATGACGTGGCTTTTGGTAATGTTACTCCATATAATACTCATACTCTATACTTCATTCATTTCTTCATGTTGTGATTTTTATCATGGAATAAATTGCAGATCATCACAAATAGATAGACAGATAATGCTAGCTACACCTTTCTACTTTGTACAGTATGGGACGAAAACAGCACTGAGTGTGTGGGAGGAGCCTATGACTCAGCCAGTGTTGAATGGGCAAAAAGTAACATTTAATGCAAATCTCTGATAACATTGGAAGCTAGCGTCCACTTTCAGAGCAGAAGCTTATTAGCCTAGCTTGCTAGCTTCCACTTTACGATTGGAATAAAACTACACAATATGGGTCCTCTAAATGTCTGAATGTTGTAAAGGGAGAGACAGCTTAAAGTGAGACTATTTCCCCCTTTAAAAGAAGAAAAAATATTTTTTTTGTTTTGCAAATGAAAGGCTAACATCATCCCCAGCGGGTTTGATGATTTGGTCTGGTATGACCAGTATCTTATGGTTATTGCTATCTAACTAAAGTTTGCTAGATATTTCCAACCATCACAACCATCATAACCATCACAGTGGAAGGTTCAATAGCAAATGTTAGATAGCCCCTCTTCAGATCTCGGTTGATAGGCAATGATATGTGGGTTTATTGAAATAGGAAAAAAAATGTTGCCGGCTCTCAGATGTCTGTTAACTGCTTCTATGGGAAACACCTAAAGCTTAGATGCTACTTCTACAAATATCCAAATTCTGTTTTATCCTCTTTTGGATATATGTACAGTAACTGTAGTATTATCATAGTTTATATTCGTTTTTAAGAATTTAAGAATTCAAATTTAAATTTTTCTGAATCAATAAGTGGGTGCATGAGTTGTGTTAATACTTCATGTTGTTGTTTGTGTTACTGTCCCTGTGACAGATCCTGCTATCTCATCCTGTAACATGACGGGCTTACCTAACCCCTGTAGACTGTTTTTGTAACTCGTGTGATTGGCCGACCTCTCCAGAGAATGTCAGTCGGGGAGACAGCATGTTAGACTATAATCACACAAGTCTGACCTGACATATAATGACACTCCCTGCCACGGCCCCGCCACTCAGCGCGGCTGGGCACAAGTTGCTAAGCAACAGGCCACAGGAAATGTCGAAGGCTCCGACATGAGGAAAAGCTCGACAGAAATGACAGTGACAAACATGGAGGACCAGGGGGGTGACAAGGTGTTCCTCTGCGCAAAAATACACCTCTTCCTCTGTCTAACCTCGTCACAGATGCTGCCTCTGCTCAGCAGCCCCTCTCTTCTTTCTCTTTCCTTGTTCCTTCCTGTCTCCGGGAAGAGTCGCCCAGTCAAAACATGTGTAAGACAATTAAACTTGGGTGTACTTTGGTTATTGTGCTGACAGATCAAAGACAGGATCCCTGTTTTAAGTTGTCCTGCTACACAGTGCCTTGTGTTTTCCAGCATTTTTCATGTTTATCGTGTTGCCTACTGTGACAGTGAGGCACTATGGACACTTTCTTCGGGTGTTAACTTAATTAAATTGTCAGGGAACACCTTGTTAGTCTGATGATTACAGATAGACTGAGGTGTTAGGCGATCCCTTTGAATTTTTTCATTAAAGGGCTTAAAATCTGTGTACGATCTTAATGTAAACAAAAGTGTCATCCAGTAAGAACCTGGTATCACTGATAGACAGGCCCCTTGGTTATATATCTGAATGTCTTGGAGTGATACGACAATACAACCACAACATTGTGAGGAAGATGTAAACTGTGTAAACTTTAGTTAATTTAATCTTTGTTTGTTTTTTATGCTGTTTTTAATTTTACAGTTTCTGTAGTTTTATGTTGTTTTTATCTATGGTTTTATTCTATGGGTATCTATTTCCCTTGTTTTGGTAATCAGCGCTGGTTGGTTAGGATGGGAACACTGTAATTTTGATATTTTTATGGATCACTAAATTAAACCTTAAACCTTGAACCTTGACTGGGCCTTTAAACGTCACTTACACATCAAATGATTTCTAGATTGAGGATTTTGGACCTTGACCTTCATACAAACTTAACCAGAATGCAAAGATTTCTGTTGCTTGTCTTTTGCTTGTTCGGCCTGAGCTCGTTGACTTCATCTGACAGCCTGGCCTGACCTCAAACAGCCACTCAGGCTGAGCTGGACCGAGACAGAGAGGGAAAACGGGGTCAGGTCTAATCAACATTGCTGCCATGATTATGTCCAGTTCACTCCGACCTGTAACCAGGCAACAGGCAGTGCTGCCACAAAGCCGATGTGACAGTGGCAGGTAGATTGAACATGGAAGGATGGACAGGAAGCCAGGGCGGGTGGGTGAGGGGGCTGTTTGGCCCGACGCAGCCTAGTTCTGTCCAGCCTGTCACACTTGCCCACTCCGGCACTGTACAGGGATCAGCTATTGCACTAAGAACCACAGGCAAAGGTGGCCACTTTAAACAAAAACATTAGCCCCTATCTTGTTTTGTCCTTGTAGCAAAATACCGTGCATTCTTCATTATCACTTACTGAGATAAATATGGGTCAGGAAGATGTTTTGATCTCATTCCATTAAACAATACCCTTTATTTAGCTGTAGGCTGGAGGGAGCACAGGAGGTCTACAGGAGCCAGAGACAAAACACTGTAGAGGATTCTTAGTACAAGACTAAATTTAAGAATTAAAGCCTTTCTTTTATACATGTGGCTACAGTCACAAAGCCGTCTTAATGTGCAGACATGCCTTCAGCAGCCAGTTTAGGAAAATTATCTTAACAATTACGTTAAGATAAAATTTTTATAACAGATGCACTGATGCATAGAGCAAGTTATCTTCGCAGAGAGAATTTGAGTGTAGTGCAGTGAAGTAAGCACATATTATAATTCAAAAGTGTTTTACGCAAGTAGGTTACTTCTTCTAACTCCAACACAGAGCAAAGAATTATGAAGATTATGCAGCTGAAAAGACCTCAAATTGTCTTCAATGTAACAATCAAAGGCCAATGCAGTGGCAAAGAGTATGGACACAAGTTTATGCCTCCTTTGTACCACACAAATTAAAAATCAAATGTGTTTGCAGCATGTGTGCGCACTGAGATCACATCTCAACAGTTTGTCACAATTTTAAGACAGCGTGACAGTGCCGCGGCTGACAGCACAGGTGTTGTGATGACAAGTTAAATCTCTGCAATTTTACTCTGCTGCTGCTGCTGCTGCTGCTGATGACGATGTTTGTATTGGTTAGAGGCTGTCCGCTCTGAGCTACACAAACCCCCTGTCCTCTCAACGCTCAGCTGGACTCACCTGGCGCCCAACAGTCACTCTGTCCAACACTCATCTGGACCGAGACAATGCACTTTGAAAGTTCAGCAAATTATCTGACATTAAGTATATGAAGGGTGAAAGAATAAAACCAGTGTCAGAGTATTTCACCATTAACGCCCCTATAGAGTCCAAAGGTGCCCATTTAGGAAATAAATGCCTCTAAAAATAACTGCAATGCTTAAAAATTAAGAGGATAATGGTCGCTCTTTTCTTATTCGCCCTAAAATAGCCAATAGGCATTAACAGTGGAAGGAAATACATTACACTGATATTATGCTGAAACTAAATACCTTGGGTTCTCTATAAAGCTGGCACTTACCATGGTCTTCTGCGGACGTCATACAGGTCGATCTTGTTGGGTGCCCTCCATGGAGTGGCTGAAGAGAGCAAGGAAGTAAGTTATAGACGGTACAGTGCACTGTAGGATATTTCAGATCAGATTAGATCAAAGTAATCATAATTTCATTCTGTCTATCGAGTTACCAGTACAGCCATCTGATAAGAGATTGCCAATGTTCTGTGGCTGAGGAGCCCTAGGGTCAATTTAGACTTTATCTTGCCCTGAGTCATAAGGCAGACTGTTGACTCAGTGCCCTGCGGCCTACCTGGGTAGTATCGTGTCACTCCTGTGGCACTGCCAAACACCTGCCACCGCAGAGAGCTGTCCTCCCGACGGTTTTCAATGAAGACCCTCTCCAGAGCCTGGGTCCAGTTTAACTCATTTAGGATGACAGGGGCTGTAGGAACACACACAAAGAGAAATGCAATAGTGAACTGGTTAATATCGTGTATAGGGCTCATTGTTTTCAAGTTTACCAATTTACACAGAGAACTGTTTTTCTATAGGAGATTTCCACAGATTTTCACCTGTGTGAAAATCTTTTGGGTCCACAATGGACCCAAGAGACTTCTGCTGCAAGACGACACTGTCCACAAGTTTTTGGTAAACACAGTTCTCTTACAATGAGCACAACTCAGAATATGCTTCTGGTTATATAAAGAGAAAAAAAATGGAGAGAATTGCAAATGAGCTGCTGATTATGTGCCATAGCCCCTCAAAGTATTATTAAAAGAAGGAATAAATACTTAAACTACAGGCACTGGAAATTGTTTCTTATAATCCGATTTACACCCAGAATCTCATATTACTGTATTGATTTTTTGCACCTGTTTTTTAATATATGCAAAATAAGCAGATAAGTTCCCTTATTTTTAATAAAAGCCGCAAGTAATAAGCACTAAATATAGTGTAACCAAAGTGCAAAACACTAGGTTTTTTGTGTTAGTACCCCAAAGGTCAAGTCTCCTTGCTCAACAACCTTGTCCGTGCCAGCAGCAGTAAGCTGGGTACATAAGAATGGATGTATGCAGGCGGCTCGGCCAGCGGTAGCCCTCTGAGCGGGGCATCAGTGTAATCTGGGCGATCTCTGAGGAGTGCAGATGAGGAATCTGAGATGACCTTGGCATGAGGTCATGTGTCACTCGCAGCATGTGGAGGCAGAGGCCACTTTTGAACTTTTGATAGCAGAGAAATACAAAACTACGTCTGTGCTAGGGGGTTGGTGTGAACGAGAAAGAGAGAAAGAACCGGTCTGGCACGTCAAGGTGTGTGTTTGGACTTAAAACTTAAGGTCATAGATATATCTCACAGGTCAGTGGTACTTTGTGAAATGGATTTATGGTCTTGGAGAGAAGTATTCATCATCTAGTCAACAAGAAATGAAATAACATGCCGCTGGTGGTGGTAGAATAACACCACCACAGCATCAAAGTGTATCTCGTTTCCTTTCTACCTCACTCTAACATAACTCATATTCTCCTTCTATATGAGGGACAATATGAGTTCAGTTAGAGTAACCTCTCCTGTCCTTCTATTTCTGTCATTTCTGATTATATTTTTTTCTATCCTTACAAAAAGAGACAATATGTCTCCACACACACATACACCCCCCCCCCACCCCCCCACCCCACCCAAAATGCTTTCAGCCTGTGTTTAATAGCTAAGCTGAAGTCAGAAGATGGGGAGTGCAATCAGAGGTTTAATAGCCACCTGATTAAAGAGGAAACAAGATGAGGCGCTGAGCTGAGGAGAACTTCACTCGCTTCTCTGATTTAATTACTCAGCCAACCAAAGCTAGATAAGCCTCTGAACCGACAAGTCCAGCTTTTCTCAACCCCTTGTTTGAATTTCACACAAATAAATGATCATTATCCACTTTTCCCATGCTTTTCAATTACCGCTCAGAATCTTTGACGAGCTGTCAGTTAAGAGCTAAGAAATACACCACCAACCTTCCTCCATCTACTGCATCCACTTCCTTTACTCTAAAATGAAAGTCTCGGAAGAATCACAATCACACTGTCATTACCTAAACCTACCTAACATAATACTGTTCTTATCTTTTCAGCTGAAAGCTCAGTTCCACCTTGCCAAACGCTCGCCAAAATTGGAGCTCAAAACAAAGCTAAGTTTCATTACTCACTAGCATCCCGTAAAACAAATGCACACAAACACACACGCACACATGCGCACACTCACTACACAAGCACTAAGTAGTGTCTGGAGGATAGGAATATATGAAAGCCAAATTGCTGCCATCACCAAGGGGAGCTCCTCAACATGTTTTTCTCAAAATTCATAGACATAAACACAAAGGAAGAATGGAGGAGGATAGAGGCAGCCCTACAGATGGGGATAAACATAAAAACCCAGAGAGAGGGGGAGGACGATTGATGGAAAGCAACACAGAAATTAACACGAATGAGTGGCTGCTTTCACAGCCTGAAAAAGGCAATTTCTCACCCATGAGGGAAGGAGAGAGAGAAAAAAAAATCAAAACAAACTTTAAACTGCTAAATTGAAAATTGCAGAATCTAAGACATGATTGAGGTCAATGAATTGATTATAGGAACTGTTTTCATTTGTAAGAAAAGTCACATCACTTTGGCCATTTGTATCTTAGTAGGTGAACAACTAGCTGATGAAAAAGTTGTCAATCACTGCTTTATATTTGGGGCTTTACCATCATTGTAAAATGTACAGTAACTTCTGTTTTAATGGAAAACAATATTATCTATGTTATCCGTCTAATGTTTTGTCAGATTTTTGTTTTGGGGTTATTTGATGACTCATTCCTGGACAGTGTGTGACATTTCTGCCACAAACTTAATTTTATTCAACCAGAATTAGAAAGACGAAGAAAAAGAAAGAAAGAGCTTTATGTTCTATCTCTCACCCGTCTGGCGTTTACATTACCGGAGTCCAGATGGTCTGAAGAACTAGAAAGACTGAACTTGAGAGAAAAGTGCGTGACACCTGTGTCTGTATTTTACTGATGTTTGTGAAGAAATGTTCAGGGAACCAAACTATGCATTTCAATTTCATGTGGGTCATGCAATACTCCGTGGTTAAAGAATCATCCGATTAATGTGTAAAAAGTATTATCCTTTGAGCATGAGTTATCACAGCAGGTTGCTGCTGTACCAGCCTGTGTGCTGTGAAGTCCTGGGTGCTGTTATCTGAAGAGGCACTGGGTCTGTAATGATAGCTATCCGAGACAGGCCAAGGGCGCAGAGACATCCTGTGACCTCTGTTTAAAACTAGAACCACCTCAGCTACCCCGACTAACATCAAGGTATTGACCAAACTCTGGCTGCCTATGCAATATAAATTATCAGTCGCATCGCTGCCCAGCGCTGTGCACACACATGAATTCAACACCTGCAATTGGCTTGATATGTTTTCTGAATGTTTGTGTGTTTTTATCCTCGCCTGACTGCTGGTCAGCCTTCGTCTGTCAACCAAGAGCAATAAAACTGAGTGTTTGTGTGTTTATGCTGCCAGTTTAAAGTAAACCAGTCATGTGTGAGCCACTTCTACTGTTGGTCCAACTCTGCAATCACACACACACACATAGAAAAACACATAGACACACACATCTGCAGGAGATCTCTGCAGAAAAACGGGCACATCAGAGATAAGAGAACACAACAAACTAATTCTCTTTGATTTATTCAGTTAGGATGTGCCGTGACTTCTCTGGACAGTTGATAAAAAGACAAATTTCCCCTGGGGGGGGGGAAATATGCTCACACAAGCAGACAGAGCCCCCGAGCGTTGTGCTGGGCTCATCTTTCACATGAAACGCGCCTCTCTCTGATATCTTTAAAAGGTAATTCATCAGCGTGCCACTCCCCTGACATTTAGAGCACCCTTGGCTTTGTCCCTTTATGGAACAAGACTGCACACTAAGTAGGGAAACAATTATGAGTGGGATTTATGGAGCATCTCTGTGTGAGATCATTCTTCAACCCCCTTCCACCACCAACTCTATCCCATGACCCCAACCCCACATACACACATTATTCACAATGATATACTTGTGATAAGGAGCCATCCAAACCTATCCAAACCTAGCCTTATGCTCTGTATTAACTCAGCAGTATAGGAATAGGTACATGCATCGACTTTGCACACAGAGCAGGAAAATAAAGGCACAGTGGCCTGTAATATATCATAGTGGAACAAAAGCGGTTGCTCATAAGAAATCCATAACAGTAATGGAGCTAAGGCTATTAGCTGAGCCCCTTTGAAGAGTCATAACCTTTATTGCTGTCATTGCCATAAGGCGTTTACATATTCTACTTTTTAAATGGAGAGACTAAGTGGTACTGGTGTAGTTCAAGTCTGCTAACTTTGACCTATAGGTGACATTACTCAAGCAGACATGTAGGGTAACAGTGAGACATATACAGTGTGTTTTGTATCTGAGTGAGTTATCTAGAAAGTCATATCTCAAAGGAAAGATTATCATGATTTTTGGCAGTATCCCAGTGTAAGGGGACACTCAGATTATATCAGAAAACCACTGGTCTTTTTACTTAAATGGTCAGTTTACCTTTATTACAAAAGCATATTTTCTCACTTACCCTTGTGCTACTCAGCCATGCAGATTGTCAGATAGTTTGAGTTTAATATTTCCTCCTTAATAATTCCTCTTAAGTTTTTTTTTCCTTTACATCCAGACAAAAGCAATGGGGGTAAATAGAATTTTCTTTGTGGTACTCATAGCACTGAAAAATGACTTTAGTTAAGGTGGATAATTTGAAGACCTCACTGTGAGCAGCTTTCAAATCACCCTAAAAGTCAGTGACAAAATGTTTTTGTTGTAATTTGGTTGAAGAGACACTGTAAAACAAACACATTACAGACCAGCATGTCTGCATCTGCATGTAGCACCTCCTCCTCTGTCTCTCTGTACTGTCAGCCCGATTCGCTTTCCACCACCCCCCCCACCCCCCAGCCACCAAACCCCCCCACCCCCCCGGCCTGTTTGCTCCCTGTCTCTCCTTCTTTCCTCTTCCTTCAGGGCTGCTTTGTGGCCTGGCTGAGTGTTAAAGAGGCCGAACCTTAAACCTTTCATCCTGCAGAGGAAACGGCAGCAACAGGAACTGGCAGCCGCTCACATATCCACAAAGACAAGCTGAAACAAAGTCTAAGCCTTCACTGAGGAAACTGTGTCTTTTTTGTAGCTTTGGTTGAGAAAAGTAACACCCACAAGATACTGTATAACCTCATTGGTATTCTTGCCAGTTTACTTTACAAAATCATTCTCCGAGGAATTTCCTTGCAACTAAGATAGTTGTATTAACTAATTACAATTAAAATTCATGTGAGGGATTCACACAGTTTCACTCAGGAATAGCATTTAGTGGGGGGGGGGGGGGGGTGGTCTCT